AAAAGCTCTTCCATGAAGCCTGTGGTGAAAGGTTACACCAGCTGAGGAAATGATACACTGCCTTAGACGCTTAGAATTTTAGTCATATCCAGGGAACTCTGAATAAGGAAAAAAGCAGCTATCTCATGAATCCATTTTTGAAGATATCAGATCTCCTCATACAGCAGCTCACTGATGGTCAGAATTGGACACTTTTCTGTTACATCATCAGACTTCGTGACTAAAATTCCAACTTACCTTATAGGAAACTGAGGTCCTAGTTGTCCAATTACGTTGTGCAGGGCTACCCAGCACATTGGTGACCCTGATAGGACTTGGATCCTGTGTTACCAAGTCTCCTTTCAGAGTCCTCTTGCATTCCTGGGATCCATCCAGGAAGTTGGTGCTACTAGAGACTGCTCAGTTCCCTACGTTCATGTGATTGTCACTAATGGATTATAAATACAATTTCTTCTAAATGAAACCTGGCCAAGTTACTGTTTGCAGTAAAATGGGTCTGTACACATCAAGGTAAATAAGTTATAATTATATAGTTCAACAGTAAACCTTGCCTATTTCCTGATTCGGTTCCTATTCCAACTTTTATTAAATTGTTTGCCATTTACTAGTGGCTATTGTTGCTATGTTGCAATAAACTAGTACATACAGTGATACTCAAAAAAGTCAAATTATAATAATGTCTGTCTTATACTAGTAAACTGTTAGAAAGAGAATTAAGGAACATAAATTAAACCTAAGTCTCTGTTTCCCGGCACTGGTAGAATAACTTGATTGGAATTGTTTCTGATATTAAGTCATTTTATAAGAAAGCAATTCCAGTATAAATATACACATAGATAATTATGGTATGAATTCAGACATGTAACATGGAGATTTATAATGATTATTATTCGTCTTACACAAACAAAATCCAGGTCTACAATATATTCAAATTTTAAGATCGACACAAAAATTTAAACCAAGAAAGGAAGATAAAATTTAATTATAGCAGTTGTATTTGTAGGATATTTTAGTGAATAGATAAGAATAATCTAGTCTTCTATTATGTTATTTTAATTCCCAACCAGCATCCAAATTAAAGGTTAGTGAAGAAACAGATCAGTCTGTATGTGCATAAGGTCCTACAAAAAAAGGCTAAAAAATAATAAATATTCCAGTATATTTGGGAATGGTTGGTGAAATTTAGCCCTGGATAAAACCATACTTCATGAAACTACCGCCATACTTTACCCATTCTTAGGATGCTCTGTGATGACCTGAATTATGTTTGTGCATTCTGGGTACATTTCATCTTTTCTGTGAAAGATCAACTAGTCTGTCATTAACTTACTTCAGTCCCAAATGTTGGTGATTCAACCCCTTGACTACTATTTCATAGTTCTTTTATAGGAAATAAAGCATCTGTTTGGAATCAAAAGAAATCAACTGTATTGTTTCAGAGGGATTATAGTGTCTATCAGACAAGTGGTGTTTGGTGTGTGTGTGTGTGTGTTTATAGTTTGTAGAAGGAAGACTGCTTCCTCTTTCACGTGTGATATGCTGTTATTCATTCACTATTTGTGTACTTGAAAAGGATGTCAAAGTTCTTCCAAGAGCGAGATACCTTGTGGGTATAAAGGAAGGATTTATTTCCTGTTCCATTTAAAATATCCTAATAATCTTTATAATGTAAGAAACACTTGGAATACTTTGGGCCTGATGAAGTTCTCCCAGGAACCAATCTCTGTTGCTAGTGTGAAAGTGTCATGTTCTAATTTCTCTAACTCTTACTTGTCATGTCCGTGAGTGTTACACTGGCATCCCAGCATATCACATTTCTTACCTCTGTTTATGGGACGTGTTTATGAAACCGTAATGTCATTGGGGACCGCAAGGAAGGAGAATGGGCACTGCTCCTTTCCCCCAGCTGCTTCACTCTGTGGGAAATAGGAGATCGGTGCCATTCACTTGACCTGGGGGAGAGTTGGATTCATGGGCACGCAGACGCTGCTGTTCTGCGCTTCATGCTCTATTCTCACTGCTTGGAAAGTCTTAATAATTTACACACAAGAGACTCTGCATATCCACTTTCACGGAGCACTTGAGCTTCTGTTGCTATCCTGGTGGTAGTGTCTGGCTCTTTCTGGCCATGTGAGTCTGCCCTTGGCCTCCAGTCATACTTTGGCAACATGTACAATCTCTTTTCAAATCAAAGAAGTAAGCAAATAATAATCTTTTAAACCAGATGTTTAAAAAATTAACTCTAAAATACTGTTTCTACAAACTGTTTCTAAAATTAGGTTTTTGCCTTCCTTTTTATAATAAATAAGAAAATTAAGTAACTGTAATCTTACAGTACTATCTGGGTTTCTTGTTTGCATTCACTGTAAAATCAGTTGTGTTTTGTTTTTTGACTTTTGTTTTGAATGAAAGAAGACAGTTGGTCTACTACCTGGGTTCTATTTCTCTTCAGTGTAATGTGGGAAGAATTCCATTTGGAATTTTTTTTTTCCTATTTTTATCTTGAGTAATGTGCTGATTTCTTTTTGCCCAATATTGAGAAAGGCAGCTTAGTGTTACATAAGCCTAGAACCTTAGCATTATGAATAAATTCTATTACTTACAAGTACAGTATTTCCCCTGAGACTGGGAGAGTACATCTGCCAGCACCCACGGTGCTATCACTGAGATATGGAACACAATTTCCCCTGGCTTGGGTTCCACCCAGTATGTTGAGTGTTAACTGCCATGACAGGGTCTCCTTTGTGATTTCTTGGTAAATGGGATTTCCCTTCTCTTAAGTCCCTGGAGAATAGACAAGTGTTTGCTCACTGGCTTTTAAAGCTTGGCCCCAAACTTTTCTCTTTATATATTTTGGGGGGAAAAAATTCAAAGGGCTGGTGTTTCTTTGTTCTCATCCAAGCCCACAATTAGCTGAAGTTCCTTCTGTGTGGCTAGACGGAGGAGGAAGGGGCACCCACCCAGCAGACCTTTTACTGCCTGTGAGAAAGTGCTTGGACGGACAGATGGGCAGCTCCTTTGTCCCTCTTGTCAGGGAAGGCTGCCTCCCTAATTGTACTGCTGTAGGGAAGCACGTGCCTTGGGGAGCATTATCTGATTCCTACAGGACCTTCGGGAGTGCTTTGTATACTGACCCTTAGCTGGAACACAAACATCTTTTCAGTCCCCTTTCCAGGCTGTTGCCTGAGGCGTGGATACCTGAGAGCTTCAGCTCAGCCAGGGGTGTGGACACATTTGTACCAACTTCAGCCTCATTTCTTTTCTCTCCCCCCAGTTGTTTGACCTGCAGCTTTGCTCCACCTGTGGGGAGGGGACGCAGAAGATGGAGGATGGAGAGGGCGAGGAGCTATAGAAGTCAGCCGGAGAGAAAGCGAGACAAACAGCTGCTCTTGTCAGCATGGGGATAAGTGTAAAGAGATTAATAGTTATTTGCAGAGCAAATGGGGAGGTGGCATTCAGCAGTGGAATGCGAATGTATGAATGCAATGGAATGGGCGTGCGACTGTTAACATTTAGACAGATGCTCTCTGGACTGAATGGAATGGCCTAGTCCTTTCTCCTCTCCAAATGAAAGAATGAGTGGCGGAATAAAACCATTTCATTATTCCCCAAGTTTCAGATGGAAGGAAATGTTCAAGATCTTCTTCCTTTGTGACTTTGCTCTCTATGGTTTTTCTTAGCCTGGTTTCTCAGTTATATTTCAATTGAACTTGCTTCACTTCCTTTGTAAAATATGTACCTCTTCTTTTGACCTCCTTGCCCTCTTCCTTACCTTAAGTTAAAGCAGAGAGAGAAATTTCCATGTTTCAGAAAGTTTCGAGGAGGAAAAATTGAGCCATAAGCTGGTTGCACCTTTTGGAAAGGAGCTGTTTAGTTTGGGGTTAGGAAAACACAAGGCAGACTCAGCGGATGGGGCTGCCTGAGGTGGGGGCCTGCACGGAGTCCTGGACTTGGAACCCAGGATTTAATTGCAAAATTTACGCTCTACTTATTAGCTAGTGCTGGAGCAACTTGCTTCCTCTCTCTCTGCAAGTATCCTGCAAATTTGCTTTTCAGATAAAATGGGAAGAAACCAACTCATTCCTTACATAAACGTTTTCTTGAGCATTTATTCTGTGCCCAGATTAATTGGTATGGAAGACATACAATCATCTGTCAAATGGTGCTGAGTGAACTAATGTACTGTTAAATTGCATTAAGCATAGATTTTATTTGTAATGAGATATTTCTTTTATTTACACGTGTTCTACTCTAGAAAAAATAAGATACTAGAAAGAAAATGGCAGAACAATAAAAAAAAAAGTTGGATGACAGACTGGCATGTTACTTTTTAAAATAGGTAATTGAGGCTGGGTGTGTTAGCAGTGGCTGTGGTTCCAGTTTCTGAAGAGGCTGAGGCAGGAGGCTCTGTCGAGCCCGGGAATTCTACACTAGCTTGGACAATATAAGATCCTCCTTCTCTCACTGCCAAGCCTTTCAAATGCTGCTACTACCCATTCCCCTCCAGTCTTTATGACCATAGTTCCTGAGACGGTTACTGGTATTGTGACACTAATTTTAGAATTATAAGAATAAGAAGAATCTTGAGATCATTTGATTTTTCACATTCATACAACAGTTTGATGATTAACCCCCCTTTAAGCTATCAAATGGTCTTTCTCACTCCAAATACCATCACAGGGAGTACTTTTGATTGTTAATAATTTCAACTGAGCTACTAAACAACGTTTTTGCCTTCTTTGTGGACAACTCTGTCCTCCAATTTCACTCTTGAAGGTTCCAGTCAACAAGGCCACCTATAAGGGCTGTGTGATCTGCGCAGGTTACTACACAGCCTCCCCCAGAGGACTCACGGTGTTTCTGGGTCTCACAAGTTGCTGATTCCATTTGTATATGACCTGTTTCTCACCTGTAGAATGCATGTCCCAAATGCTACCATTCTTGAAGCAATGATCTGAGGCTCACACCGCTAATGCTGGGGTCTCCGGGTGTCCTTTCAGCCACAGTACACAAACCTGGGGCTCCTGAACAGCATGGACCAGCAGATCCAAAACGGCTCCTCGTCCACCAGCCCCTACAACACTGACCACGCACAGAACAGCGTCACTGCGCCCTCGCCCTATGCGCAGCCCAGCTCCACCTTCGACGCCCTGTCGCCGTCGCCCGCTATCCCCTCCAACACTGACTATCCGGGCCCGCACAGCTTCGACGTGTCCTTCCAGCAGTCCAGCACCGCCAAGTCGGCCACCTGGACGGTAAGGGCGAGGCCTCCACAAAGCCTCCCTTCCCAGAGCCTCTGGGTGTTTCTCTTACTTCAGGTGCAGAGATCCCTAACTCAATGACAGAAAAAGGAATGCATTATGCCAATAAGCAGTCCATAATCGTAGGATATGTGTTTACAGGCTCCAAGATATGCAAGATCTATCAGTCTCATTACTGTGAAGATGTAATTGTCACCTTTTTAAAAATATAATAAGATGAATTAAGGGAAATAAAATTTCACACACTAAATGCTAACATGTTTATATCTCTAGATTCTGTAACATGAATCCCAACTCATGGGTATGTTCAAATTTATTAAAATTGGAAACATTTTTGCAGCTCATTCTCCAAGTAAAAGCTTCTAGAACTACCTATCAGGGCCTCGAGCTAGTCAAAAGAGAGTGTAATTTAAATTGTTGAGAGAAAATATCTTTCTATATGTAGATTTTTAAAGAATAAGTGAATTTTTTTTTCAAAAATTGAAAAAGGATTATTTCACAGTTATTATAAAATAAGTAGAAAAACCTACAAAGTTAACTATTAGGCATTTGATCAAAGAATCACCCAAAGCAACAGATGGATGTTTATGAAAAAAGTTAATGTCTGCATGAATATACAAATGCTTCCAAGTATTATTTTCTTATGGAAAATATAGTAGTAGAATTATTTTAATGGTTCTTTTGCTCTTTGGCAAAAGTAATCTTTTAGAAATCATTTCTAGATTTATCCTACATACAGTATCTAGTTCATGATAAGTTTTAATACAATTAAATGAATTTGCTTAAATGAACTATATTTGGAACATTTAATCCTTTCTCTGTAATTGCATATCTGTTCCCCTCATTTTCATCTTGTGTCTCTGTGTTGGACACCATTTATAACTTTTATTGTGGTAGTGAGAACAACTTAAAAACTTAGAGATATTTAAGAGACGTCCTTAGAGTTACATAGGCCTTTGTGTAACTGGAGGTAGTTTTGATTCCTGCCTTACCCCCATTGGGTTGTATTCTTTCTGTCTTTCTGACCACTCCCATCAGAGTGCCTGAAAATTGTCTAAAAATGTGTTTTATTTTAGTGCTTTCTATTTATGGTATCAAAATTCTGCCATGGCTCGTACATATTTCAGCCATTGAGAACAAGCTTTAACTTCAAACTTAATGTTTCTCCTCTGTGCTGTTATCTCCTATGTGCTGTGTCTGTATTTCTCTTTCCAGATTATTCAGTTTCATTTGTATTTATAATTGTAGATATGGATAATAAAGGTGAATAAATGTAAGGGTTTATAGGCTTTAAATAGCTGGTTGATTGATCTAACTAGTATTTCCTGGAGCTCCACCAAAATAACTATTTTATGAATGAGCCCTGTGTGCCTTAGGGTCCTCACCACCAACTGAACATTTATAGTCACCAGTCTTCAAGGCTCACCGTTACTTGTTCGGTTTACTACATCAGCACTTTGCTGTTTTGCAAGGAGCCTCATCTGAGGGGACGATGAGTGTATAAGGTCACTAAATGCATAATTGCCTCCATTGCAAAATCATTTAAGACCTGTGAGGATACGGTGTGATGTAAAGCCAGCTTCAGGTCAGCCTTCCTCCCTCTCCCCTCCTTTTCCATCTCTTCATGCAGGTGCCTTAAGGTCTTTTTGCAGATTTAACACAATCCCAGACCACTTTCACTCAGAGCTGTTCTCTGAGAAATAAATTGTCTCCTGAAAAAGTTTTGAGATTTCTCCTTCAATGGACAGAGAGAAAGCATTCTGGTGTAGCACACAGGGAGGAAATAAAACATAGATACTTAGGTGATACGAGAAGGATACTGAGAGCCAGAAACCTGAATTCTAGTCTAGAATATCTGTGAGACCTTAGCTACGCTATCTCAGCTTCCCAGAATTCAACAGGTGTCTCAGATGCAGAAGAGGATGGTGAACACCCTGTTTTGTGAAAGCAAGGTGCCAGTGTATAAGTGCAGAATGCTGCCAGAAGGTATTAGGCTCTGGTCAAGTACTTTGTCATCCACAAGTGAGCATTGCTAATTTGTGAATCTCTCTTCCATTATCTTCTATCTACCCTGAAGATTTGGAAGAATCAGGATCCTGTTAGTATATTACATGGCATCTGTGTTTTTACTTCATGTTTTTCTTGTTCACAAGCAGACTTCTTCCAGCCCCAGTGGAGTTCTTCCAAACGAAGACCCTTGAGCCCTCATCTGAGTAGCTGCTAAGATTATCTAAAATGATATTGTATTCTTAATTATGCATGGTGGATCTTATACATAGCAGCATCTAATTCTTTGAATCAATTTATATAACCTTACATTTGTATAAACATACATAAGCTTCCCATTTTCAAAAGTATTTTCTAGTCTGTTTATCTTAGTTGAGCCTGAAGACCAGGTCTGTTATTCACCTTTTTACACATCAACTTTAAGTAAAAGTTTCAAGGCTAATCATCAGCCAGGGAGGAAGAAAAGCCCAAGGCTCCTCATTCCAGTTCACACACAGTTCTCCAGTTCTCCACCCTCCTGTCTAGACTGTCTTTTCTCCCCACCTCTGATTGATGGAGGACAGGGGCATCTCAGTGCAGCAGACTCCATATTGTGGAACTGGCCTCTCAAGTCCCAACTGATGGAGGATATTTTTTGTACCATATTACACAACACCTATTACTTAAGCATCTGTGCTGAAAACAGTTTTTCCAAATAAAATGCTATATTTTAGAACTGCCCTCAAACTAGAAGTAACAGAAGCAGCTGTCATTAGGGGGAGGCCACACACATTGCAAAGACTTCTGTTAATTCTTTAATAAAAGTTGTCTTAGTACCATTTTATCACTTGTCAACCTTTCCTGGCGAGTTTTCTCTTTGCATTTGTCTGGTTTTACTCTCAGAATTACTGTCAGAATGTAACTAACATATTTAAATTATAGATGCATTTTCTTTTTGCTTTTTCTGTGCTTTAAATGATGAATGTGATTGTGATTCCAATTCTATAAAAAATACAGTATTTATTTTCAGCTTCTTCCAACAAAATAAAGTGAAGGGTGATGACATTTTTCTGTACTCTCTATTTTATACACACCCTGCTCCAAACCAATACTTTAAGATGTAGATCCAGACTCTCTTATTTCCACAATATAATTGAAGCTAGTCATAGAGGCCATAATTTAATTCAGTGTACTGCAGGCCTAGAAGTTTAGCGGAAGTTATCAACCATAGGACAGCTGAAAGAATGGTAGTTTAGGGATGGCAAGAAACATAAGTGTAGATTTCAATTCTGAAACTTACGAGCAGTGTATGGGCATGTGCCCCAAATTCAATCTCTTTCACCTTACTGTCCTCATTTGCTAATGGGGTTGTTAATACTTTCCTCACCGTGTGAATTACATGGGAAGTAGATGTACCTCTCAGCGCCTGGGATGCGTAGCCCCTAAGAGTGTGCTGAGTCTGCATCCGAATCCCTTTGTGTCATGAGTTTATTATAGTTTAATTGAGTGTTCAGTTTCACAATAGGTAATAATTTGGGAGAATGTAAAGTAAGATGACTACTACTTTTTTTTTTTTCCTTAATGATTCTGGGCTCTTATGACGCATATTCCAGCCTCAGGAGGCTACAATACTATCCCCAATCCAAATATACGCAGTAGATGCTGTAGGTTCCTAAACGTGGAGTTGCAGCTGACTGTGCTGCTTTCTAAGCCTGTTCCAGACACGCAGGCGCTCCTTGCTAGCACGAGGGAGGGTCCTTTCCAGAGCTCAAGACATGGCGATGTTAGCATTTCTTCCTCACTTTTAACTCAGTCCCCTCTTTCGGGGGGTGCCTTTTTCTATTCCCTGGGTTAAACGAAAGATGGCAAATGGAAAAGTCTGCATATTAAACACAGCAGAGGGGAACAAGTTCAATTAACTGCAATACAAGCAATTCCTAGTTACCTCCCCCCAAATGTTATATGGTAGGTAAAAATAACCATATGCACTGGAGTGCTTTGGGAGGTTCCTAAGAGGGGAAAGGCACTACATGAGAATGGAGAGACCTGATAAGAAAGCCCACTGCTGAGCCAGCATCTTGCTTTTTCTGGACTCCAGAGATCAGCTCTGCTTTGGCCTCACTTACCTTTACTAGGTTGAGAACTACTTTTGTTTTTGTTTTTGTTTTGGAGTTTTGTTGCTGGTTTGCTTTGTCACCCACGACCCACAGTAATCTCTGGGTACACATTCTGTGAAAATCTTCAGGTAAATGTATTCATTTAATATTTGCTTTTAGTTGTGCTTACACAATGACCCTGCTGCTGCATGAAATATTCCTTTTGGCTTTGTATCTTTCCCCTGTTAGATTCTATGGTCTTACAGGATAGAGATCCTAATCGGGGCCCAGAACAATGTTGGGCAAATAGTAAGCCCTTTATATAGAGTAAGGCAGTTTTGATTTAATTTTTTTCCTCCTCATGATAAAAGAAAATACTTGTAACTTTCAGCACCATGCCTCAGTTCTGACCCTGACTGTTAACTGTCTGTAATTGTGGTCCCTTCTACCTCCACCCATGACTTAGGGAAACATTCTTCCTTTGCTTTTCTCAACCGTGCCAGCCTCGTGTCATGTTGAGAGCTTTAAAGAATCTGACTTGAGCAAGTGGAGAGATCAGGGAGGTGTCATTTGAAAGGGAACAGCCAGTTCTCCAGAGACTTCCATTGATCCCAGCAGATCCTCTCGCTCTAGGTCTTGCAAGCGGCTGGCTTTGGCTCTGCAGGCGGGCGGGCTGAGATCTGTGTCTATGGCCCACCCTCCCTGTAATCAGGTTACCTGTAATGTAAGACTTTCAGAAAAAGGCTGCCAGCTCTGCAGAAACCTAATGCAAGGGAGCTCATGGCGTGGCCCTCTGGAATGCAAAGACTCTTAAGAATAGCCCATCAAAGGACATTACGTACAGCCTAATTTTTTCAGTGATGAATGTGATTTATCAGCTTCCCTTCACAAAAGAAACTCTTCTGGGCCAGG